TTATTGACTAGCGTGGCAGTCAGGCTCAAGGTGGCCCCCGGAAACACAGTGGCTCCGGGTATCTATCTGTGTCCTCTCATCATTTCTCCCCACAGTATGGGCATAACACGTGCTGCTGCTGCTAACCAGCAGAATTCAGCAATGGTGATGACAGGTGTGCGATTACGCATTCTAGATCACGCTGCTAACACGGGTAATGCCCATTCTGCGAGGTGATGCTCTCCTTGACTGGCTTGGAGAAGTGCCATGTTGTGAGCAGCTATGGGGAGAGGGCCCCATGGCACAGTTCTGAGGGGGCCCAGAGCGCACAGCCAGCCAAAACCAGAGGCCCTCAATTTGGCAGTGTGCTAGGAACTAAAATGTTGCCACCGGTCATGTGAACACCAGTGCAGATGCTTTCCCAGTGGAGGTCCACATGAAAAACTCACCCAACCCTGACTGTGTCCTTGCTGAGGACTAGCAAAGCTGTGTCCAGAATCTTGACCCATATAAACAGGAGATAATAAACACATGCTGTTTTAACCCACATCATTTGTAGTGCTACTTTTATGCAGAAAAGATATCACTGCTGCAGATTATAACCCATGCTTAAAATAATTAAAAGATACAAAAGGAAAATTTAAAACATGAGGGAAAAGGACAAAAGGAAAAAACACCAAGAATATATAATGTTTAACAATAAAAATATATAATTCCTAAAATGATCAGTAGGTGAGGTTGAACAGCAGAATTAAGTCTGCTGAAGAAATAATATACAAATTGGCAAATAGGTCAAAGAGATTTGATCTTTTTAAATTTACAACACACGGCACAGATATGAAAAATATGAAAACTAGAGTGGGTTCAGTGGCTCTAACCTATAATCCCTGCTTCCTTGGAGGTAGAGACTGGGGTATGGCAGTTAGAGGCCAGGAGGGGCATAAAAGTTTACAAGACTTCACTTCAATGGTTGGGCATGGGTATACAGAATTGTCATACCAGGAAGAGCAAATAGGATAGCAGTCCAGGCCAGCCAGGGCTTAAAGTGAGATCATATTGAAAATAAGCAATGAAAAAGTGACTGGCAGAGTGGCTCACGTGGTAGAATGTCTACTTAGTGAGCACGAAGCCCTGAGATTGAACTCTAACACCACCACCACCAAAAGAAAGAAAAAAATAGTAAAACACTAAACAGAAAAATTCCACAATTCTCTTACCTCTGTCTCCTGAGTAGTGGTAGTACAAATGTGAACTATCATGTTTATTGATACAGTAGCATATAATTGTGCAAAACAGGACAGTTCCCATTTCTTATTTTTTTAGGGCTGGGAAGGTGGCTCAGTGGTAGAGTGCTTGCCTTGCATGCATGAGTCCCTGAGTGTGATACCTCAGCACCACATAAGCAGAAAAAGCCAGAAGTGGCACTGTGGCTCAAGTGGTAGAGCGCTAGCCTTGAGCTGAAGAGCTGATGGACAGCGCCTAGGCCCAGAGTTCAGGCCCCATGACTGACAAACAAAAACAAACAAAACCATTTCTTATTTTTTTTAATGTTGTGACTGTCTATATATAGTATGTCATTATTTAATGTAATTTAATTATATACTATATATATCACTTTATTATATACTATATGGCATATATAGTATATATAATATATAGTGTAATATATAATATAGTATAATATATACTCATATATTACATAATTATATAATATATAATACAATATTATATATATGGTATATGTCACTATTTAAAAAGAGTGGTGGATTCTAGCCAGGTGCTGGTGGTTTATGCCTGTCATCCTAGCTACTCAGGAGGCTGAGATCTGAGGATCACAGTTCAAAGCCAGCCCGGCAGCAAAGTCCATGAGACTCTTATCTCCAAGAAACCATCAGAAAACCTGAAGTGGCACCGAGGCTCAAGTGGTAGAGCACTCACCTTGAGCTAAAAGAGCTCAAGGACAGCACCCAGGCCCAGAGTTCAAGTCCTATGACCGACAAAAAATTAAAAATTAAAAAGAAGAAGAGTGGTGGATTCTGTTTAAACACACGGCTTGTTTGAGAAAGCAATCGTACCCGAATCTGTTTAATTCTATGGCTATGCTCTTCCACTGAAACAAGTATGTAATTGCAAATTTTAAAAAAGGTATAAGCCGGGCGCTGGTGGCTCACGCCTGTAATCCTAGCTACTCAGGAGGCTGAGATCTGAGGATCGAGGTTCAAAGCCAGCCCGGGCAGGAGAGACCATGAGACTCCTATCTCCAATAAACCACCAGAAAACCGGAAGTGGCGCTGTAGCTCAAGTGGTAGAGTACTACTCTCAAGTGGTAGAGCACTCGCCTTGAGCTGAAGAGCTGAGGGACAGTGCCCAGGCCCAGAGTTCAAGTCCCACGACCGACAAAAAAAAAAAAAAGGTGTAGAACCTAGTTTTCAACTTTTTACAGTGGTATAGGATCCCCTGGCAAACTGGTGCTAGACAGAGTTCTGTTTTTTTGTTTTTGTTTTGATTTTTTTAAGATCCCTCTGTAAACAATGACAGTGATTATCTTTCTCCTTGCCAAGACTATAAAATTGGTTTCTAATTATGTACTATGCTGCCTTGAGGTCCTGCAATGAAACCACAAGACTCTGCAGTCATGTTAAATCATTGTTACTGGTCCTCCCCGATCTGTTCTGCCATAAGATATTTCTATAATATTTCATGGGAGAATAAAACTTCGAGGTATATGCACAGAAAATCATGTCTCTTGGATTCAACTCTCGGTATCTTAACCTTTAACTTGGCAAATGTATTAAATCCACGCTCAATAGTAGCACACACACACGTGTGTGTGTGTGTGTGTGTGTGTGTGTGTGTGTGTGTGCGTGCGCGCATTTTGGGGCTTGAATTCAGGGTCTGGGTGTTGTCCTTGAGCTTCAGTTTAAGGCTAGTGTTCTATCACTTTAGCCACAGCTCCACGTCTGGCTTTGTTAGGAGGTAGTTTATTAGTGATAAGAGTCTCATGGACTTTCCTGCCTGGTCTGGCTTTGAACCACAATCCTCAGATCTCAGGGTTCTGAGTAGCTAGGAATACAGGCATGAGTCATTGGCACCCAGCTTCCAAAATAGCTTTAACATGCAGTGTCCATTAACATTATCAATCCAAAGATATATATTGTAAATGTATCCCTGAAAACATATGGTATTTTATTGCAAAGAAATTAATGATATTTCATGCTGTGAAACAAGCTTATAGGCTACTGATATTATAGGCAATTCCTCTATCTGGAGACACAGAAATATTGGACAATTAAAACTTAAACCAGTTAAGATTTTTTTAAGTAAATATAGTTGGACATGTATTTTCAAATAAATTCAAAACTCACATGAATTTCTTCCCTTTATTTCTCCCTTTATTGCTAAAAGTAAATATCTCTATTGCTCCTCTTCTTCCACCAAAAGAAAACTTAGGGCAAAAAACCATAAAGGCTATGAGAACACTCCAAAAGAATCATCTACTTCTGAATAACCTAAACTCTCTATACCCTGTGTTTTACAACCATTTATAGCTAGTCAAATAATAATACCATAACTAAGAATTAATTCTGTCTACCAAGTAGAGTGTCCTTCCTTATAAGTACATGGAAGCCTGATTAATTATTAACAAAAGAAATCCTACTTCATTGAGCAGCTGAGGAGTTTTAGAGGAATACTCTTTGTAGTAGTGAAAACATAATAAAAATAACGGATGGTACTGTAGCAGACAAGGGCAATAGGTTAGAAGGAGGAGGATAAACAGTGAATTACAGGTAAAGGATTAACAAGCAAAACAGTCAACTGTGTGGTCTCAGAAAATGGCACTGGTAAATTAGAGATTAATTTCATGGAGACATCTGGGCTATGTAGGAGCTGAAGTCCTTATTTCTCACGGTAAAAAGTACAAAGCTCTGTCACTGATTTATAAGACATAATTATTTGTGCCAGAGTCAGGGTGGTGGAACAACAGATAGCCAGCAGTATGCTCTGATGTCCTGAATAAGATTAATAAAATAATAAATAAAATGATGAAGCTAGTTTCCTCAGCAGTGTTTGGGTGGGGGGGAGCCCCCTGGGAATGGGTTATTCAGGGCTACAAGAATCCCTTAAGCGATCAACAAACAGATAGAGAAGTGATTAGCAGTTTTCCCGTCTTGGATACCTCTCTCCATAAAAGATCAGAGAGTCTAAGAATAAAAAAAACCAAAAGATAAGTCAGCTTAAGTCATAATTCTGTTCTCTTTCCTTCCTCCCACCAAGAGAGGCCACTCTCTCGGTGTCCCCATTTGCAGAGAATCTTCTGTTCCTCCTCTGCTTTAAAAAAAAAAATTCTTCTCTATTTTGCTTCAGGGTGGTCTGGAAATGTTCTCTCCTCTACTCTTTGAGTTTCTGTCTCATATGCTGTGTAACACAGAAGCCAAGCACCAACATGGGGCCTGAACACATACAGCAAGCAGCCTGGCATAGCCAACAGCTAATGTCTGCAGGAAGCTCAGACAACACTGGTCACTGCCATTGCTCCCAGCCATTCAGCTATTCACTAGGAGTCTACTCTCAGGGTTCTCTTTTAGATCACCCATAGATAGTCAAACGAGAGGAGGAAAGGAAAGGAAAAAGGGAAAGGAAAGGAGAGGAGAGGCGAAGAGAGGAGGAAGGAAAGAAGGAAGGAAGGAAGGAAGGAAGGAAGGAAGGAAGGAAGGGGAAGGAAGGAAAGAAGGGAGGGAGGGAGGAAGGGAGGGAAGAGAGAGATTCTTCACTGGAAGAAAAAGTAGTTGGCAGAAAAGAGAAAATAGTGCAAACCAAATAAAACAGATAAAACTGAAAAATCCACAAATCAAATTATAAAACAATATTCTGCTGACATTTAAATAAAGCAATCCCATGGCAACAATTTAATTGCTGTCTTTTTGCCTACAATTCCAGATTTCTCTTATTTGGGGCTGGCCAATTTTCATCTCTCGGTGTTCTGAGAGCACCACACAAAGCCAATATTATTTACTACTTACTTGTGCTTGCTTGCATACTTTAAAAGGCTGAAGTGTTTCTTGGTAGAACAGCTGATGATAAGCCTGGAGGTCAAACCAAAAGTACACACTGTTCTTCCACAACTACAGATGGAAAAAAAGCACGTAAATTATTACTGGCCAATTATTAAAACTCTTCAAAGCTCTAAGTTCAGATATAAATAATTGTTTAGTTTCTGTTACCATAAATCAGGTTCGATTTAAGATAGTTTTGATCTTTTATCACAAACTGGCAATATGCAAAATATTTATGGGTATCGTCATTAGAACATTACATTTCTGCATGTGTGCTTGTATAATTGGTTATTAAAATGGAAACGTTCAAAACTAATGAAAAATCATAAAATAGTAAGCATTCTAGTTAATGGTTATGGTTATTGAGGGCTGGTGGTAGAAGGCTTGCCTCGCATGTACAAAGAACTAGGCTCAATCCTAGCACCACAATCAATACTTAAAGATTATTTCTGGCATAAAAAGAAAATCTTAAGGTTTTGGTATAAAAGGGCAAATGTATATTATTACTCCAATTATTCAAACAATTATCCACTTCTCATTGAGGTCAAAGTAATACTGCTTGAACTTTTAAAAAGCACTGAAAATAATTGTTCGTTGTTGATTGTGATTAGTAACTGTTAGGATTATTAAAAAGTAGAGGGTAGACAGAAATCAACTGCACATTCAAAATATAATTATGCTGATATAAAATTACATGAAAACAAACTATTGTTAGTATACTTTACTTTTCTTAGCAATTTTAGTAGAATGATTAGTAATTGAGATCTTTCCATTTTTACTAAACACAACATATAGACTTTTTTATTTTACCAGAGATAGGAATTTGGACATCAAATATAGGTACTAGAGCATTGATTTACTTCAATACCATGTATCTTGAAATACAGTAAAATTATAAAATTAGAGTTGGAATAATATTTTCTACCTTGTTCCCTGAATCCTCACAGAATTTAGTAAAGAAGAATCCAGCTCTATTTTCTACATACAAAGATTGCAACAGATTTTCCATGTCATATCCTCCCAAGGCACCAACATCTGATATAGTTTTAACCTAGATAACAAAACAGAAGTCCATTATCCACCCAAAAACATTGTAATTTTTATAGCATTGTACAAGTGAGTTTCATAAATTCTGCTGGGCTGTCATTTTCCCACTAGACTATTTTATTTTGGTTTCGTACCATATATGTAATTAATGCAGTCTGTTTGCATCTGATCATCATATAAGATTCATTTATGAAGCTCAATTATAGCAGCAGAATTCATTCTATTCCTTCTATCAAATAAATCAGTCTGGTTTCAAACAATGCTAAAGCAACTCCCTGACCTCAATTATTTTCACATTTCAAGCACAGTGATACTATTTGAGGAGTCTTCCAATCTCTGTTGGTGGCCTGTTTCCTACATATTTACTGTTATTTTAGCCTTGAGGTGCTGGTATTATAGCTACAAGAGGGTTATAAAAAGAGCTATCTTCAAGGCCTCTCAGTGCTGCTCATTAACTATCCCTAGGAGGTCCCTCTTTGGACAGTCTCATCCACATAGGTCATGGCCTTCAGAGTGTAAATGGCAGTATAAGTTCTCATAAAATCTGCTGTTTATGGCTTCTCTGCCAACAGTGTTAGCAACTCTTAATACCATCCTTGAAACAGAGAGCTGGCTCTTTCTCCAAGTTCAAGAGTGACTCCAGAATATGAAAGGGTATCTGAACTGTTCACATGAACTCCATGTTGTTTTGTTGAACTCAGATTTCTTTGTAATCTTAAAACAAGCATGGCATAAACAGGGTTCAAGTAAGGCTTTTGTGTTCTTGGACATGAAGTCTTCTCTGCCTCTCTCTTAGCTGCCTCCTAACAAATTCTGAAATGAGAACTGAAGATTTTTTTATGATGTTGAACTATCAGCATTCTAAACTTAAAAAAAAAATCCTAGTTAGAAGAAAAGGAGAGATATTTGCCTAGAATAAAATAAGCAATTGTATAAAATCACAGTTAGGTGTTGAGACTAGTGGGACTGAGAAATTTCCACTTGCAGCATATCTGTAAGAAAAGTGTTGTGAAACTTTCATCTAGAACAACTGCATCTAATTCATATGATGATCTTCCCTGCACTCTGGAAATAGCTTGCCTTTGCAAAGTTTCTAGATTTCCAAAACACAACATCAAATTTTATTTTAAAATTTAACAAAGATTGCCAGGCACACATGGCTCGTGCCTGTAATCCTAGCTACACAGGGCTCTGAAAAATGAGGATCACAGTTTGAAGGCAGCCTAGACAGACAAATACAAGAGACTCTCATCTCCAACTAAAACAACAAAAAGCCAGAACTAGAAGTATGGCCTCAAGTGGTAGCTTGGCATCTGGGAGCAAAAAATCCTTGAGTTCAAGTCCCAATACCAGCATTAAAACATAAATTAAAAATATTAACAAGGACAAAAGAAGATCTTATTTTGTATCTGAGGTGCCATTATATGCAAGTCAGAACAAATGGTTTTCTGGGAGATTTTTGGGAGTATTAAAGTTTGAACTCAGAGCTTGTGCTTGCTAGGTAGCCAGTCTACTAAGTCACACTTCCAGTCCTTTCTGTGCTGGGTTTTGTTGTAGTTGTTTGGTCTGGGACCAGGATTCAAACTCATTGGCTGGTGCTCTATCACCTGAGCCACGCCTCCAACCCCATGTACTGGTTGTTTATGAGAGTAACCGGGTTGTGCTTTGTGTTCTAGTGTGCATGTGGGTAGTGATCTGCATAATTTTTGGCTTCCCCTCACAGTTAGGACAATAGGCAGATCCACTGTGCCCAGTTTTCAGTAGAGAAAGGGACTAATGGACTTTTCTACACATGGTGGCCTCAAACTTCAATCTTCCCAATCTTGGTCTCTCAAATTGCTAAGATTAGGGGTGCAAACCACTGGTCCTGATTTCTTGTTTTCAGTTTTTATAGTTAGAGGGTTTAAACTTGAGTCTTAAGCTTTGTTAGGCAAGTGCTCTACTGGCAAGCCAGGCCTCCACACCTTTTTTGTGTTGATGATTTTTGAAGTAAGTCTTGCTTCTTGCCTAAGCACACACCTGGATTAAGATCCGATAATTGGGGTGACAGACATGTACCACCATGCCCAACTTCTATTAAGATTGCATCTTGTAGACTTTGCTGCTGGGGCTGGTCGGGAACAGTCATCTTCCCACACAACTAGACCAACAGTTATGTGCCACTTTACCAAGCCATTTGTTGAACGGTCACCAACTTTTCTGCCTGGAATGACATCAAACTGCAGTCCTCCTAATCTTAACCTTCTAAACAGCTAGGATTACTGCTGGAAATCACTGGTGACTAGCTATAGGTATTTTTTTAAACAGAAATTTTTATAGGACATAGACACATGATATTAGAAAAGGAAACACGGGGAAATTTGGTGTAAGATTCCTTCTGCAAGAAATATTTAAATATTCTCCTTAGTAGAGAAAAAACACTACAATGAATCAATCCAAGTTTTATAAAATCAGAGAAAAAGATCAGTTATGTGAAGAATAAGGTTATTCAGGCTTCAAAACACTTACATTAGGCTCTTCTGTATAAATATATCTTCTCTCCAGCTGGGGCTTCAGACATTCAGAAATGTCAGTGAATGATGTTAAATGAATCACTCTGCTTCTTTCTGACATGTACCTTGACCTAAATTAGAGACATGGAACAAACTGATCAACAAATAAATGAAAGCACCAAAGAACTTCTTCAAAGTGACAGAGAATCTGTGAGAAACAAATAGTAACATTATACTTAATGGCAAAAGGATGTTTTCCCCTAAAATTATCAACAAAACAGCATTTTACTGGAGCTTCTAGCTGAGGCAATTAGGCAAGGAAAAGAGATTAAAGATACCCTGATTTAAAAGAATTAACCATGTAGCCAGTGGCTCACACCTGTAATCCTAGCTACTCAGGAGGCTGAGATCCGAGGAACTTGGTTCGAAGCCAGCCCAGGCAGGAAAGTCTGTGAGACTCTTATTTCCAATAAACCACCAGAAAACTGGAAGTGGAGCTGTGGCTCAAGTGATAGAACACTAGCCTTGAGCTGAAGAACTCAGGAACAGCACCCAGGCCCAGAATCAAGCCCCACAACTGATCCCCCCTCAAAAAAAAAAAAAAAAGAACAAGAAGAAGAATAAAAAAAATCACCTTTTTTTCTGTGTGTGTGTGTGTGTGTGTGTGTGTGTGTGTGTGTGTGTGTGTGTGTGTGTGTGTGTGTGTTTGTGTGTGTGTGTGTGTGTGTGTGTGTGTCAGTCGTGGGGCCTGAACTCTGGGCTTGGGCGCTGTCCTTCAGCTCTTCAGCTCAAGGCTAGCATCCTACTATTTGAGCCAAAGTTCCACTTCTGGATTTTTCTGCTTATGTGGTACTGAGGAATTGAACCCAGGGCTTCATGCATGTTAGGCAAGCACTCTACCACTGACCCACCTTCCCCATCCTTAACCATTTTTTAAAGGTAATTATTCTAAGTAAATATATGGAATCCACTAATATAGTACTAGAGTAAGTTTAGTTAGAGCACAGATAAACATACAAAAGATATGCAAGATAAAAATAGAACATTATATTTCTTGTACTTAGCAACAAATAATTTTAAAATGAAATTAACAAAGGAATAACACAAAGGTTCAATGCCTATGTGCCTTTGATAATAATATCTCAGCTGGATACAATGGCTGATTCTTGTAATCATAGCCACTTGAAGGCTGAGATTGGGAGTAGTGAGGTTTGAGGCCAGACCAGGCAAAAAGTTCACAATACCTCAATCAATAAAAACCTGGGCACAGTTGTACACTCTTATCATATCAGCTACATGGGAAGCATAAATAGGAGGATCACTATTCAGGCCAGCCAGGGAAGAAAGCAAGATCTTATTTGAAATATAACAAAGACAAAAAAGGCTTGGAGGCATGACTCGAGTGGTAGAATTCCTGCCTAGCAAGCACCAGGTCTAGTACCACCAAAGCCAAGTCCACCAAAAACAAAACAAAAACTCTCCTCTGAACTCTAGGCCTGGGCCCTGTCCCTCAGCTCGTCAGCTCAAGGCTAGCACCCTACCACTTGAGCCACAGTACCACTTCCAGCTTTTTTCTGCTTATATGGTGCTGATGAATCAAACCCAGGGCCTCATGCATGAGAGGCAAGCACTCTACCACTGAGCCAACTTCCCAGCCCCCTTCAGTGACTTTTAATTACTGTTCTGAATCATTACACATCTTTATGTCCAAAGTTTCTTTTAGATTCCTTTTTTTGTTTGTTTTTTTATGGTTCTAGGTTTTGAACTCAGGCTTTATGCCTACTAGGCAGATGCTTTACTGCTTTAGTCAAGCCTCTAGCCTTTTTTTCTGTTTTTTTTTCATTCCTTTTAGACAAATTTCTCAATCATTTTTTGTTTTTTGTCAGTTGTAGGACTTGAACTCAGGACTTGAGGACTTTCCCTGAGCTCTTTTGCTCAAGGCTAGCAGTCTTACAACTTTGAGCCACGACTCTACTATGATTTTTTGATGGTTAAATGGAGATGGAGTCTAATGGACTTTCCTGTCCAGGCTGGCTCTGAATCGTGATCCTCAGATCTCAGCCTCCTGGGTAGCTAGGATTATAGACATGAGCTACCAAGTACCTGGCTCTCAATTACTTTCATCACTAGTACTCTTTACAAATGATTTTATGAAAAAAATGATAAAAGTATTCTGCTAGTCTTGAGTTATTAAATATTGATCTCACATCAACCCAATAGGTATTTTCTATTTAATTTCTTAATTGCTTGTGAGGAAACAAAATCATTTTATCACTGAAAGTAGATATATATTTAAGGACTAGTAAATTCACTAGTAATGTGAAATATGATGTATTCTAGTTTTTCAAACAAAAGCTAGTATAAAATGATCAAAAATAAAACATAAGAGCAAAGAAAGGTAATAAAACCAAACAAACAAAAAAAGCCAATGCAACAATGAAAAGAGACATTGGAATTCCAGATACTAAAATTACCACACACAGACTTTAACCAACTGTCCTAAGAGATGAAATAGAAAAAGAAGAGTTTCAGCAAATATTTGAAAACTATAAAACATAAAACATTTTGACAAATGAACCAAGGAACAATCAAAGAAATTAGAAATATAGTCATTGAAACTGGGAAACTGAAAAGATGCAACTTGATGCAGATTAACTGCAGTCAAAGAGAGAAATAGTGAACTTGAAGATGACTATCTAGAACAAAGCAAATGTGACAGGATGACATACAGAAGGCAGATTGTTAGGGGATAAATTGAGAAGGTCAAACTTGTATTTCATCAGCATCCTAGGATAAAAGGAGAAGAAATATCAGTGAGAAACAATATGAGAACAGTTGAGAACTTTGCAAAATTGATGAAAGATTTCAAAACCACAGGTCTAACAACATTGGGTTGGCTACATAAAATAAAACCCACACCCAAACACACCAGACTAAAACTGAAAAGATTTAAAAAAAAATATATACTTCTAAAGCAAATAGAAAAAACGTATTATCTTCAAAAGACAATAATTAGCCTGAAGGCTAATCTCTCAACAGAAACATTGAAAGCCAGAGAACAATAGGATAATATCATCAAAGTACTGAAAGAAAATAATTCCCCATGTCTAATTCTATACTCTGCAAAAAAAAATTAAGGATGAAAATGAACAGAACATGAAGAACCTTGAAAACATTATATGCAAAAATCATCATATAGCCTGATGCTGCTGGCCCATGCCTGTAATCCTAGCTACTCAGGAGGCTGAGATCTGAGGATCACAGTTCAAAGCCAGCCTGGGAAGGAAAGTCCGTGAGACTCTTATCTCCAATTAACCACCAGAAAACCAGAAGTAACTGTAGCCTTCTGTATAGTATCTTTACAATAAAGAAAAAAAAGAAAATCAGAAGTAGTGCTGTGGCTCAAGTGGTAGTGTGCTACCACCCAGGCCCAGATTCAAGCCCCATGACTGACAAAAAACAAAAAAAAATCATCATACACAAAAGCTGCAAAGCTATAGGATTCAACTCACATGTGAAGCCCACAAGAGGCAAACGTACAAACAGAAGAGTGGTGGCATGTGTTAGGAGCAAATGTGAGTAACAGCCAGCAGGTGAGACCTTCTTCCTGGCATGAGGAAATGTTCAGGAATCATAACGGTGATGGTTGGACAACTTGGAGAATATACTAAAAATTGTACATATCCTACACTTCAAGATGATTTAGGTAAAAAAAAGATGATTTAAGTCGTATGAATGTATTGAATATGACATATATTTATAATGTTCTATTTCAATAAAAAGTATAATGTGGACTTGAGATGTGGCTTAAATGGTAGAGAGGGAGCTAAAAAGCTAAGTGAGAGTGCAAGTCCTGGGTTCAACATCTAGTACTAGAACAACAATGAAAGAAATGAATATGAACTAATAGATTGTTAAAAAGGATTCATTCAAAGTTAATACAAAAGGCATTCTTTTTTTTAATTTTTATTCTTTTTTTAAAAAATTCTTTCTTTCTTTCTTTCTTTATTTTTTATTTTTTTGGGTCCGGTCATGGGGCCTGAACTCTGGGTGTGGGCGCTGTCCCTCAGCTCTTCAGCTCAAGGCTAGCGCTCTACCACTTGAGCCACAGCGCCACTTCCGGCTTTTGTCTGTTTGCTTATATGGTGCTGAGGAATCGAACCCAGGGCCTTGAGCATGCAAGGCAAGCGCTCTACCACTGAGCCACCTTCCCAGCCCCACAAAAGGCATTCTTAAAGGGAAAAATCCTATTAGAAATACAGAACAATATAATAGGTAACTATGTAGGGAAATATAAATTAATAAAATAATATACTATGTTAAAGGATGATAGTACTCTTGACAGTCCTCATGAGTTCTCCAACTTGAGAAATATTGAATTATATTTAAATTATATTATTTGGATAGACCCCAGTAAATGTTAGAAGGCATTTTTCACAGGGAAGTTTTGGTTGTGCTCAGTGCATGAGACACCTATATGTGATCCTCACCCTCTCTGTCTCTCCTCTCTCCTCTTTGGAGTCTTGCCTTTGGTAATCTAATACTTTACCACTGGAGCTATGCCCTAACCAGCCCTTTTCTTTTTCCTCAGGTAAGTTCTCATGTTTTTTGCCCAAGGTCAGCCTCAAACTACAATCCTACTAATCATGCCTTCTGAGTAGCTGGGGCTAAAGGTATACACTACCATGATTAGCTTAGCCTCTTTTTAAAAGCACTAATAGTTGGATTTCTACTCTTAACATGGTGTTTGCATGGTATATTTAAGTCTGTAATACATATCATTGGGATATAAAAACCTACATGAAAAATCAGTATAGGTGCTTTCAGTATTTAATTTTTAAATTCTTAACAAAAACTCATCATTTCAAAACAGCAATGAATACACAAAGAGTTGGACTTACCCTTTCTCAATCCCATCATCCTTAGCAGGAGGATTCAAAGACTCGCCCTTCCAAGACTTATGAATTGCTGTTTTTACTCTGTCTGATTTTCTGGGAGATTTTGGAGGTTGTGTTAAACTCACTTCCTCTTTCTAAAAAGCGAGAAGATAATAAATTAAATAAAAAGTGAGCAAAATGAAAAAAAAGAATAAATCATAGTTCTGCTCATGCATTTGATTTCTGATTTATGTAATCACTATAGGATTTCTACTTCACTCACCAAAATGGGAATTTTATCTTTTTCTAAATCCAGTTTCCTACAACAAGCAGAATAAAGTCAAACAGCAATTTACATCATAAGAAAAGAAGAGACAAACACTTATATGTCCTGACTTCCACTATTGAGAAAGCTAGCTGTTTCCTAGAGAGTGAACTTGGTAGAAACTATTCTTCCTATAACTTGAATGATTAGAGGCAGCAGGGAGGAAAGAAGGGGATGAAGCAAAGACATTGTTGGTCTCTAAGAACACTGTACCTAAGAACACTACTTCCTTCCATTTGGGGATATTTTAAATTTCATTGTCATGTTTCCCATTCTTAAAGCTTCTTCATGTCAAAATTTAACAATTCAAATTCAAAATGCAAGATGCTACCTGCATAAAGCAAACAAGTCCAAAACAGAGGGGGAAGAAAAGAGAAAAGAGTACATTAAAATAAAAATGTATAAGAAGCTTAAGGGGGCTGGGAAGGTGGCTCAGTGGTAGAGTGCTTGCCTTGTATGCATTAGGCCCTGGGTTCCATTCCTCAGCACCACATAAGCAGAAAAAGCCAGAAGTGGCTCTGTGGCTCAAGTAGTAGAGAGGGAGCCTTGAGCTGAAGAGTTGAGGGACAGCGCCCAGGCTCAGAATTGAGGCCCACGACCAGAAAAAAGAAAGAAATAAAGAAATTAAAAATAAGTACTTGTTCAGAAGTGATTTGTCTACTTTTGAATTTGCAGTAGTTTTCATAATTTGTGGTGTTTTTTTTATTTTTTGTTTTTGGTCAGCCGTGGTGCTTGAACTCTGGGCCTGGGCGCTGTCCTTCAGCTCTTCAGCTCAAGGCGAGCGCTCCACCACTTGAGCTACAGCGCCACTTTCGGTTTTCTGGTGGTTTATTGGAGATAGGAGTCTCACAGTCTCTCCTGCCCGGGCTGGCTTTGAACTGCGATCCTCAGATCTCAGCCTCCTGAGTAGCTAGGATTACAGGCGTGAGCCACCAGCACCCGGCTATTTGTGGTGTTTTTTATCCAGAAAAAAAAAAAAAACAATAAAAATCGTATGTACTCCTTGCATTCCTTATAACTGCTAATTGCCTCTTAAGAATTCTATAAATAAAACTAATTATTCCAGTAAGCTCTATATATAACTCTCTAGTTTCAGAGCTGGAACCTACTCTTTTCTGTTTTAGTAATTCAGAACACAGCATGATGTTAACACTCAATAAATGAGAGGTATCACAGGAGCCTGAGCTTACAATTATACATACATCTTACAAAAGTAATCAAATTTATAGGAAGAGACAACAGAATGGCGTGGAATGAAGGGCGAAAGGGAGTAGTTGCTTAATGATTATGATTAAATGGATAAGATGGAAAAGTTCTGGAGCTTGACTTCACAATGGTGTGGTCAAGATGGTACATTTCACACTTTTTCTTTAACCACAATATTTTTTAGGTTATGGGTATACTTAGGCTAGGGGTATACTTCAGTGATAGTTTATATTTAGAATTCATAAGGCCCTGGGTACAATCCCCAGGATCCTCCCTCTCCCCATCACATACACACACACAAATTCTTAAATTAAAAAATACTAATTTTTAAGTTTCATATAGAGATGAGCATAAGTTAGAGCTTGGGGCTTGCAGGCTTGCATGATAGCTGTAAGGGAAAAAGTCAGAGCATGAACAATGGAGGAAAATATGGCACAAGATCCAGGCAGGGAGAACCAAGGACCTGTTGTGTCATCACTAAGATGGTGAATGCCTAGTGCGTACATTTGCCTCAGTTGGTGGGGCTGTACTGGAAGGGCATGTTTTTTGTATAGACATTATTCTTTATTTTTTAATTTAAAAAGTAAACCAGCATCAAATTACATTCCTCGGAATATTTTCTACCAAGGAGAGATGGAGTGAGCTAAGGGTGCACTGCCCAGCTAGACAAAATCAGCATAGGGAGCAACTGAGGAAGGCACAGAAAAGTCATGTTTCCACAAATTCCTCTCTCCCTTTGGCACTGTTCACTTACTCAAGCCCTTTGCTTAACCAGATCACTTTTTTTTTTTCTTCTTCCTCACCTCTCAGCTAGATAATGTTTATCAAATGTTCCACGTTAGATGTCATGCTCATGCTCCCTGAACGATGCCTCAAAGATGGTTCTTCATACCTTATGTCTGGGTCACTGGCCACACTGCTAATCAAGAAACTAAGATTAATCAGCAGAGCGGCATACAATATGGACACGAGGCATAAATGAGATCAGAAAGAAGTCAAAATAATGACAAGGACCACTGGTGCAGTAAGGTACCAAATTCCCCAACTCTGGGGAGCCCAGAGATCTCTCTTTGAACAGTCTTTGGGTGACACATTAGTAATGCTAAAGCTTGAGTAGCAGTGCATCATCCATAAGTCATCACTCAAATTTCAGGCATAGTTAAGAATGTTGGAAGCCCAGCACCAGTGGCTTTATGTCTATAATATTAGCTATGTAAGAGGCTGAGATATGAGGATCACAGTTGGAAGCCAGTCCATGTAGGAAAGTTCATGAAATTCTTATCTTGAATTAAACACACACACACACACACACACACACACACATACACACACACAGCTGGAAGTAGAGCTGTGGCTCAAGTGGTAGAATGCTAGCCTTGAGCAAAAGAAGCTCAATATAATGCCCAGGTCCCAAGTCAAGCTCCAGGATTGCCACAAAAAGCCAACTCCCTGAATTTCAGGACCCTAACTCTTTTCAAAACAACTAAATAAGGATTCTCTGATGGAGGTACACAAGCATTTGGTACACTTTTAAAGTTCTCCATCTAAATCTAGGTTTAAAAGAAAAACAGACCAAGAATAACTGTAGTATTTCCAGCTCTAAAACACTACTTAGAAAATAAATTTTTTAATTGCATTATATACCTTCCTGTCTTAAAATATCTTGCTAACTACTCAGGAGGCTGAGATCTGGGGAATAAAACAGCTTGAACACAGAGCTATCATTTAAAGAAGTTGTATGTCACTATGGCCAATAGTAATTAATATTTTGCAATGCCTTTAACGGCTAGTAAGATTAATGAGGGTCTTAAATGCAGGTTACTATATCTCTAAAAGTATTCATTGATCATTTAATCTATATAAAGTCAACTAACTTTTTTCTCTTTTATGATTTATTCCCTTATCCTTTTTTATACTTTTATTCTTTCCCATGTAATGGAAGATCACTTTTTGTAATTCTGTTATTTCTAGTTCTTACACATCCATTTAATACATATTTACTAAGCTATTATGAAGCCAGGCACTGTTATATATAATAGGGACAACTAATTAACCAAAGAAAACATCCTTACATTCTAGTAGGAAATATGGGACAATAAGCAGGTAAATGACATGGTAATCATAAACACAATAAAGCAAAATAGAGCAGAATAAAGGGCACAGATAAAGATGGAAGGGGTGTGCTATTCTATGCAAGTATGCTTATATAGAAGAGTCAAGCTAGCGTTCCAAAGTGATACTTGAGCAGTTACTTAAAGGAAGTGAGGAGCAACCCAGGTAAATATCTGGAGGAAAAAATGTTCTAAGTAAGAGAACAACAAATTCAAAGTCCTCTGTGTGTGTGTGTGTGTGTGTGTGTGTGTGTGTGTGTGTGAATGTGTTCAAAGAGTAGCAAAGAATTAGTGTACTGATGACTTTACTGTAACCTTGTTTCTGTTCTTTTGGATAAATGTCCAGGCGTGGGATTGCTGGGTCAAAAATTTACTTTTTTTGAGGAATCACCATCTTGGTCAAAGCCCAACAAAATAAATCCAAGAGGAGGGGCAGGGCGAAGAGGAGAGGTATAAACTAATGAAGGGGAGAAAGTGAAGAGAATGCAGTCAAGAATTCATTTTATATACCAAAAATTAAGAAAAATAAGGAAGGGGTAGATTGAAGGCGTTGAGAATGTTGAAGGACATGACATTGATCAAGATGCATTGAAGGCCGGGCACCAGTGGCTCACGCCTGTTATTCTAGCTACTCAGGAAGCTGAGACCTGAGGATTGTGGTTCAAAGCTAGCCTAGGCAGGAAAGTCTGTGAGACTTTTATGTCCACTTAACCACCAGAAAACCTGAAGTGGTGCTGTGGCTCAAGTGGTAGAGCGCTAACCTTGAGTTGAAGAGCTGAGGGACAGTGTCCAGGCCCAGAGTTCAAGCCCCATGATGGACCAAAAAAAAAAAAAATAGATGAATTGTATTCATGAACTGTGTTGCTATATGGCACCACTTTTGTATAACTACTTAAAGATAATAAAAATAATTATAAAAATAATCATAAAGAATTAGTGTAGCTGAGGTAGAGTAAGAGAAGAGAGACAGGAGTCTGACAGGAACTGTACAGCTATGTAAACACTGGATTCTATCGTGAGTGGAAGAGGAAGCCACTGTTGAATTTTGAGCAGGTAGGTGCCATTACCATATATTTTTAAAAGATTACATTGATTGGTAGATGTGATCTTCTTTTTCCTAGCTGTGGTATGGTAGCAAATTCATTAGTACAACAACAACAAAGCAAATATAGGGATGAACTTTCATGGCCATCTAACTATAAACTTAATAGGAGATCACAGCATCAACTTTACACCCTACCTGGACGTCAGGTATCTGTGGAATGCAAGACTTAGGTCTTAGTGGCAAGAGGGTTGCCATTTGTGGGAAAGGGTCAATATCCATCCTTGGTTTCTCCTGCCGGAGTCGCCAAAATTTCAGTTCAGCACTAGCATGTTTTGTGGAGGTTGAATGAGTGACGCAGAATCTTGGTGCCCTTTCACAGGAAAAACAAGTTTAAGAAAAAAAGATATTATGGTTAAATTAGACAATAAGAACTCAAAGCCTGTAAGTAATATAATAGCTGAGCTCATAATTATCAATCTTGCTAAACCTCATTTCTAGTCATTTGTTTCTTTTTCTGCTACCTACACTTAAAAAATATTTTCTTTATGTCACTGTCTGCAACCTCTTCATTCATATAAAAGATAATATGTATTAGAGGGAAAAATCATACAATTACATTCAAAATTATTATCTGCTTGATAAGAAATGTAAATCTATTGATGAAAGAAAATTTAAAAGAACCTGTCGTTTCTAGTAAAATAGAATAAAATGTACTGTGATAATTTTAAAAAGTTATCACCTTTACAATTACAATAATAAATGTATATAATTTGTATACATAGGACCACTATAGAAATACCTTGTATCTTTTTGTATATCTTAAATATAAAATAATTTTAATGAAAAAGAATAATTCACTGTATATAAAAGAACACAAATCGCATAAGGAATGTAGAATTCCTAGTGGGAGATGATGTCAGAGAAGTAGGCAAGGACCAGAGTATGATTACCTTACTTGATAATTTCAAAAATCTCAACTTTATACTAAAACTTTTAGGGCCATCAATGATTTTTACAGCAGAGAAGTGACAAATCAGATGGGGCGTACATAGTCACTGATCATCAAATGGCACATGTGTTCCCTACTGTGTCATTCTCTTTTCCCAGGAGAAATGCGACCTCCACTGTGTACCTTGTGGATCACCACACATTTTTGGATGTTAATTTCACTTGTGCATTCCTCTCACCTGACTATGACCTGTTAACATGACCAGGTTTTACCTTTTATCATTAGCACAGCAGTTGTCCTATAATTGTTCAAGAAATGTTTATTGAGATAATACACCTGCACCTATAACTACATGTATGTACACACACACATACACACACCTTATGAGATAGTGTTTAAACATGTAATATATAGAAGGATGTGCTCACAAGATTAAAAGGGAACTTAAGTACTGTTCAGCCACATTAAAGTCACCCAAATATTATCATTATCTAAAATGTACTTATCTAATGTACTTATCATCTAAAAGATAAGTATATTAGAAAAGGCCAAAGATATAATTAATCTTTTCATTTTAAATTTAGATAGAAAGACAGACAGACAGACAGACAGACAGATAGATAGATAGATAGATCTAGATCTAGATAGATTGGTCTACATATAGATAATATATAGAGATAAAGATATTATTCAGAGGTGGATTAAGAAAAAAAATGGAAGTAAATTTGACTCTCATTGTTTTTCTTACCAATATAGAAGTAAAGGTTTTACAACCTCAACTTGAATATTTTTTAAATGGTCATCAGTCCACTGAGCTCCATCTAATAGTTTCAGTTTTGATAAGATTTCTGGAGAAAGGTAGCACTCTCCACTGCTCACAAGATAGCATTTTTTCATCTTCTCAAGATGTCTGAAATAAAATTACACAGCACACACACGGTAGAATACTCCACCAGTCAAATGTAATGTTTCGACATAACGACTTGTAAACAAACTTTACAACTTTGGGGGGGGAAAGGACCGGTGGGGGGGGATGGGAAGGGATGGGAAGGGGAAACAAAGGAGGAGGCAACAATGCTTGATAAGAAATGTATTCATTATCTTGCCCATGTAATTGTAACCCCTCTGTATGGTATTTTCACAATAAAAAAAGTAATGTTTCAAGTAAGTAATAAACTATCTCAAAATGAGCATTGCTTTATAGGAGTTTTAAGTCTCTGTGGAGGTAAAATATTTCTCAAGTTGTTTTCTAATTAAGCTGAGTAGTCTTCAAAGCCCCACATCCTAATCTCAGAATTTGTAAATTTGTTACCTAAATCCTTTGGACCTCCAGAACAGTTTATTTAGGCCACTAAGTTCATGTTCATTTATTATACCAATAATAGAAACTATAGTATTGATTCTCAAAAAAACTCTAAGGTTTCTTGAAAAAAATGTCCCTGGTAGTAACCATCCCATGATCAATCATAATCACCTGTTTGGTAACTTGGTTGATCTTGTAACTATTAAGTTCTGTGATTTGTATATCATTAAAATAACTAGGACAAACCTGTCTCTGAGAATTACAGCCTATTACAATGATCCACTTTAAAGCAGATCAGGAAATTATAGACAAAAGTAAGAACTTCCTAAAGGAGTGTCCTCTTAAGATTCTTAGACTTACATTAACCTAAAACATATGGAGCTGGCTAATGGAAGACCTGAGCCCATTGAAGCTCTGGGAGTGCTCTAGCAGAAAAACTTTTTCAGATATCCAGGTATGTGGCATCTAACCAAAGATTATTAAATTTGTTAACCAAGTAGATTACTAAGGAAAAAAGTCCTTAAATTAGCATAAGTATCTATCTTATGCAAGCATGATTACATACCAGGTAATTTTTTTTCTAGCAGAGTTCTATCTCATTGGAATATTACAAAGCTTACATAGCATGATTTTTGAGCAGTTCTAAAGTTAACAGAATGAAATATGCAAACCCAAATAATTAAAATTATTACCCAGAAGCCATAAAATCAGAAAGCTTGCAGAATCAAAATTTATTATAAAAATACTTTATTATTATTGTTCATTCAAAAATATAAATTATATACCTTTATGTTTATTTTAAGCTTTTTGCCAATGCTTTAAAAAACCTAAACAGACATTCTATGATTTGTTTTTAAAACTATTAAGAAATAAAAAATAGAAATACCTTTGATGTCTTTCAGGCTCCTTAAGAACTTTTAACCTCTCGATATCCATCCAGAGCCACCAATACCTTTCTCCTAATGTGCCCTTTATAAATTTCTTAAATCTTTCAAATTCCTTTCTATTACCAATGTCATAAGTTCTGTGAGAAACACACCAGTCAGCCCTGCTCTCAGGTCCAATGCTCTCACTTGTTGAACTTAGACTTATTTTTCCTAGTTTGTCTTCTAGGTTTTCATCTGTGGTTGGAACTCCTCTACCTACTAACTTTTGACAAAGGGCAGACTCAAAACAATCATCAAATGACACTTGTGTTACATGACTGAAGTCTATAAAGTCTGGGTTTTCCAAAACTAACCCAGTAATTTTCTGAATGGCTGAATTCAAAACAAAGACCACAAAGGAGTTTAAAAATTCTTCACATGTTGAGAAATGTAATTCCAGGTGTTCCTCAATCTCACTCTGTTGCTTTTCAAGGTATATTCTCAGAAGAGCTTGAGAAGCAGTGTCTTTTACACAAACAGACCCTTCTTCTTCTTCTTCCAGTGAAATTAAATTAGATGCTCTTTTTTTTGTCCTGGGGTGAACTCCATCATCAAAGATAAAACTTTCTGCATTAAATCATAAAATGTTATTAGTTAGATAGGAATACAATTTTTATAATATATATGTATATACATATATAATAGATGCTACCTAGAGTATTGCCATATGGGTTTATCGTGGAGAATGACTGCATTGACTATTATCTTCAGAAAGATTCTGCGGACATATTTGGAGCCAGAAGGGAAATAACTGCCAGGATTCATTAGTTGTCTTCCCTGGACACAGCATGAGGGATGGGTGGCAAATGACTGAACAGTTATTGAAAATAGGAATACCAAATTTCTCCAGAAGAGAGCCTTTGTGAACCTGTGAAGGGGACACAGGATCCTCCAAACAAGAGGGAAGCTGGAGTAGAGGCCAAGGCAGGCATTTCCACTCATCACCACCTTGCTACCCTTTCTCTTTGTGTGTGCTTTTTTACTCTCTACCTTCTACTTTAATATTTTGAAAAAGCAAGGGACACAATTATGTAGCTATTTTCCATTAGGGAGGGTTTTTTTTCTCCCTCATCACTTAGATTTAGGTTCAATTATAGAGCATTCAGACTTATCTTCCCCAGAAGTTCCCAATGCCTTTCACAGTGATTAGAGTTAAAACTGTTAGGCTGAAATCTTCTGAGTAATATTTAGATGTTTTTCATTAGCAATATCATAGTTGATGATTTCTATTTCTAGTATGTTCCTTCTGTTTTAATGCAGAGCTTGACTCACCAATAAAAGCTTCCCAAACAGAAGTTTATCTGCTTTTCAAAATAGTCAGCTTAAAAAAACAAAGTAAGGGGGCTGGGAATGTGGCTCAGTAATAGAGTGTTTGCCTAGCATGCATAAAGCCCTGGGTTCGATCCCTCAGTACCACATAAACAGAAAAGGCTTGAAGTGGCACTGTGGCTCAAGTGGTAGAGTGCTAGCCTTGAGCAAATGAAGCTCAGGGACAGTACCCAGGCCCTGAGTTCCAGGCCTAGGCCAGACGCAGAGAAACACAGATTGCATGGTTTCTCTCATTTGTGGTAGCTAAAATGAGCCTCTATACATACAAGTAAACATGCTGGGTGGTAAGCAAGGGGTTACAAATGAATTAATTGAAATATAATATAGTCTATGTAGAGTGCAGATAGTATAATTCTTTAAAAAGACCTACATCAAAGCCCAACAAAATAAGTACCAGGGAATGGGTACTTGTAAGAGGGAAAGGTGGGGGCAAGGAGAGAGGTAGAAGAATAAAGAGGGCACACAGAGAGAATGCAGGCAAGAATTCATTGCATATACCACAGAATTGAGAAATATAAGGGAAGGGGTGGATGGAAGGGCGGTGAGGATGTTGAAGTGATGACATCGAGATGCATTTGTTAAATGGCAATGAAAAAATCAATACATAACCTAAAAACTAACAACAGTGAGCCAGGTGCTAGTGGTTCATGCCTGTAATGCTAACTACTCAGAAGACTGAGATCTGAGGATACTGTGGTTCAAAGCCAGCCCAGGAAGGACAGTCTGTGAGAGTCTCATCTCTAATTAACTACCAAAACACCAGAAGTGGTGCTGTGCCTTAAGTGGTAGAGTGCTGGCCTTGAGCTTAAGAGTTTGGCTTAAGAGTTAAAGCCCCAGGACTGACCAAAAAAAAATTTTAAAGCTCAGGTACAGCACCTAGGCCCTGAGTTCAAGCCCCATAACTAACAGAGAGAGAGAGAGAGAGAGAGACTCCAAGTAGAAAAATGCTTTTTAAAAATCACAGAGAGGGCTGGGAAGGTGGCTCAATGGTAGAGTGCTTGCCTGGCATGCCTGAGGCCCTGGGTTCGATTCCTCAGCACCACATAAGCAAAAAGAAAAAAAGCCGGAAACGGCGCTGTGGCTCAAGTGGTAGAGTGCTAGCCTTGAGCTGAAGAGCTGAGGGACAGCGCCCAGGCCCAGAGTTCAGGCCTCATGACCAGACCCAAAAAAAAAAATCACAGAGATAATAAATGTTTCAATGGGATTTTAACCCCACCTCATTTTCTCTCTATCAACTTGCTTCTCCAAGTGTAGTAGTAAGTGAGCCCAGTGTGGTGGTGCAAGCTCATACTCTCAGCACTCTGATGTTGAGGCAAGAGCACAGTGACTTTGTGGCTAGCCTCGGCCATGTAGCAGACCTTCTTGTCAAGAACAAAATAGCAGGTGGCGAAATAGAGTCAGCGGTGATGTGGATGATTTTTTTTTTCTCCCCAACTATTCTGTCTTGACAGATTAGACCAAACAAAGGACTCGAAGAAGAGCTCTGAAGTCATTTTTGGCCTATCTTTAGCTTACCGGAAACAGATGGTGTGACTTTGCTGTGGGACATAGAGCAGGGTAAGGCAAAGGTGGAGACTGTTTGCTGACTTTGCTTTGCTAGTGAAAACCAATCTTTTGTTTGAGTGTAGGAGGCCTAGGGAGAAAGAGTCATATTAGTTTAACAAAAGATAGAATTAATCTAAAAATAAATCATATACACTTTGGGGTGGTAGCCAAGTATACATAAGTATGTTAACAGAAATATGGTGGGATCAAGGGAAGAGACCAGATGAATGAAGAGAGGAAAGGAGTGGAAATACTCTCATAAAATACAATACAGGCTGGGACTGTGGCTTAGTGGTAGAGTGCTTGCCTAGCATCCATGAAGCCCTGGGTTGGACTCCTTAGTACCACATACACAGAAAAAGCTGGAAGTGGGCATTGAGGCTCAAGTGCTAGAGCGCTAGCCTTGGGCAAAGAGAGGCCCAGGGACAGTAACCAGGCCCTGAGTTTAAGCCCCAGGATCAGAAAAAATATTCAATGCAGCCAGCCCTGGGGGCTCAAGCCTGTATTCCTAGCTACTTAGGAGGCTGATAACTGAGGATTGCAGTTCAAAGCCAACCCAGGCAGGAAAGTTTCTTGTTGTTGTTTTGGAGGGGTGGGTCATGGGGCTTGAACTCTGGGCTTGGGCACTGTCCCTCAGCTTTTCAGCTCAAGGCTAGCACTCTACCACTTGAGCTACAGCGCCACTTCCGGTTTTCTGGTGGTTTATTGGAGATTAGTTTCATGGACTTTCCTGCTCGGGCTGGCTTTGAACCGTGATCCTCAGATCTCAGCCTCCTGAATAGCTAGGATTACAGGTATGAGCCACCGGCGCTCGGCAGTTTGTGAGATTCTTATCTCCAATAAACCACCAGAAAACTGGAAGTGGTGAAGTGGTGCTGTGGCTCAAGTGGTAGAGAGGCAGCCTTGAGCTGAAGAGCTGAGGGACAGTGCCCAGGCCCAGAGTTCAAGCCCAATGACTGACAAAAAAAAAAAAAATTCAATGAATATTTTACAAAATTAAGAAAATCGAATGAAGGACTGAGGTTAAGAGGGATGGAGGAGAATGATGAAATGGATGACATTGCTCAATATTCACTGTATTCATATACTACTTTGTTGAATGACAACTTCTTTGTACAACTACTTAAAGCTAAAAATAAAAGATTTACAGCATTCCTCCAGTCACAAAACAGATAAACCTTTATAACACTAGTTAATGCTACACAATATGTAAAAGAAAATTATTTTATAAAAAAAAGAAAATTGCACTGAAATGTGTATTGGCTAAACGAATAGTAGGAAGAAAATTTTAATCTAGACTTTTTAATTGATCACAAAGAAAAAAGTATGTCACATAACCATGAAGTACTTCTCTACTCCAACTCTTGGGCTATTGCTGACCAAAGCAGAGCACAAAACTCTGCTTCCCAGATTTACAATTGTCTTTTTTTTATTTTTACTGTTTTATTAACTTCACATGTAAGCAGCCAGAACTAATTCCCCGGATTGATCTTCCCTTGACATGTTTATTGGTCCTAACCATCAGTACATATTTTTATAACATTCCTGACAATTATAGAGGGTATAAATTAAGAGAAAAATAATACTTAAAAACAAGTATAAGAAGGAGGGTGGGGAGAGGGGGGAGTGTAGTTGTGGAGGTGGGAGGGAAGGGATAGTAGGGGAAAAAAACAAAGGAGGCGGCAACAATGCTTGATAAGAAATGTACTCATTACCTTGCTCATGTAACTGTAACCCCTCTGTACAGTATTTTTACAATAAAAAACAGATTTAAAAAAAATAAGTATAAGACAGAAGGAAAAAATCCCTTTAGTACCTCACTAAAAATTATTCAGCAGAAATAATGGAAGTGGTAAAATATTTTTACACTGATTAGGAACTACAAAACGAAAAGAAAAAACAGTTCAAGTAACCTAAGAGTATCCATTCTAATACAGATAGAAAAGAGGTTTCCTCTTGTATGACATTTGATCAGCTGTCTGCAGTATTCTGTTAAAAAAGCATTTGGAGCCATGCCCTAGCTCAGCAGAAAGATGGTCTGTCATGGATGGAGATTAAGACTAACAGCATACAGGCCACATACTTGTCCCTGCTTATTTCATATACACTCATCTATTTGGAATATGTTGTGGAATCTTTATCTCCATTTCCAGCCTGGGAAGAAACAAATGTTTCTCTCTCCTTTTCTACTTTTCTCTACTTCAAACCTGCCACACTAAAATAAATCCTTGCTAAAACTTTCACCTGGTGAGATTCTTTTCTTTCTGAGACACCCTGGAGTGACTTTCATGAGTAGATCTCAAGGACTTCTGAGTTAGAGTGGAACCACAGTACAGTGAAGGTAACGGCTTCATTATACTATGACAACCAAGAAAGACCATTGGCTCTAGGTCACATCTATCCAAATGTACTTGTATGACCCAACATTTGTGCATCACAGAGGACAAATTTATCTTATAGTCTTTTATTACTCTAATGAATTTTACTAGTAAGTAATTATCTAAACAACACAGAAAACTCAATTTGCCATCTTTCTGTACAAAATTAATTGAATCCAAATAGCAACAATTTCAGAATAAAACAGATTATCCTTGTATCTTGGGTGATTCTGAGTGTGTTCTTCAATCTTGCTTCTGTTACTTCAGACATGAGAATAATACTTCTAATTGTATTTCAGATGAAACAGTACAGAGCCAATATGTCAGCATAACTATATTCCTATTACAGAATAATTCCTAATTGTGTCTGAGAAGTATTTTACATTGTTTTCCTTGTTCAAGAGCTACAAATGAAATTCATACCTCTGAAATGATGTTTCATTGACGTGCCAAGTTATGAAAAAGATAATAACACTTTTACCTCACCAAGAGAAAGGTAGAACTTTTTCATAATTATCAGATCTTCTTCATCAGTGAGAGAAGGCTGTGGACTGGGTGTTTTTCTTAGGAGCCAGGGAGCAAAATTCGCACCTATTGTAAAATTCATACCTGACTTGCTCCATCTTACTTGTGAGACCAGTTTGGCTAACCTGCATTTCAGAAATCACAAATTTTATAATAAGTTTCAGGTATGGTAGCACTTAGGAGAACAAAAGCTAAAGTTTGAATTTGTAGATTTAAGCAACTCTCTCCTAACTCTGTAGAATGATTCCCTTAGGCTCTGCTAAAGTAACAGCAGCTCCTAGAACTATTCATTGATTAATCATTTTTAGTTTATTGTAATTGAAAAATGCATATTCTAAGAAAGTTTAAACTTTGGTAAAATTTGAGAACATACATACTTATACTTTAAAAGCTATGGTACATAAAGAAAAACCTCAGCCCTGTGCTGACATTCTTTTTGGCATCACATTAACAAATACTTTACTCATTGATAGACACTATCATTGATAGACATTATCATTGATAGTACCACTATCATTATAATATTAGTAACTTAATTTGAAGATAATTTAAAGGTAGATTTAAAAGTACAGTGATGAAAGAGGTATAGCTGAAATAGAATTTTGCTAAGAAATCACAGAAAAATAGCTTTAGGTGAAAGAAAAACATACATGGAAAAATATGTATGTTGATGAAACTACAATACCTGTATTCAAAATAGCAATCACTTTCCAGAAAAGCTGGAAGTCTTTCTTTTTTGATCCATTTGATACCTTGTTCACGATTGAGACACTATTGGGAGAAAGTGATAAAAGAAAAAGAGAGTCAAAGAAAATCATCTTTCAGGACAATTGATGCCTAACCATGATCTCTATCACTAGGAACTTCTATTTCTACAAGAGACAACAACGATGCTGAGCTACAAATATGAGTCAGGGCATTCTTGCCCCTAAAACCTCTCTACATCTCTAGGTCAACTATCACTCCCAACTTACAGATTAGCAAATTGAATTCAGAAAATTTTGTAACTTATGAAAAAGGAGAAATGCAGGGGAAGAGTTCAGCTTTAGTATTGTGTGTGTGTGTGTGTGTGTGTGTGTGTGTATGTGTGTGCGTGCATGCACGCCAGTCCTGGAACTTGAACTCAGAGCCTGGGCACTGTCTTGTCCTTGGGCTTTTTTGCTCAAGGCTAGCACTTTATTACTTGAGCCAAAGCTCCACTTCCAGCTTTTGGGTGGTTAACTGAAGATAAAAGTCTCACAGACTTTCCTGACTGGACTGGATTCAAACCTCAATCCCCAGATATCAGCCTCCTGAGTTAGTAGGATTACAAGCATGAGCCACCAGTTCCTAGCTAGCATTAGTGTTTTTGCTGCTATAAAATGAGTAAAGAATAATCACAAACAGAAAGAGAATCACCAAGAAAACTCAGCTCACCAAGGCCACTGAAGGACCCTATTCTAGTTTTAGATTTTTTTTGTTAAATATTTAACATCCCCCAGCACTCTCCTGGAGATATCGAGGTTAATCTACAGTAGAGGCATCATAGTGTAGGCTTTTGGGGACTCCAAACCAAGAAGAGTTTTCTATAGATCATGCCCTGATCTGACCTAAAACATGACTAGCTAGGTGGAGGCACAGGCGTGAGTAGAGGGGAAAAAAATCTAGTAGTATTTCATCTCAGGATGTATCTGAGGAATAGGAGGAAGGTTGAAGAAGTAGGCAGGAATTTCATTGTAGGGGAAAAAAATTAAGGAATTTAGATTTTACCTGTGGTTATACATCCAATACAAAGTTATTAAGTGTTTATGAAGATACTACTCATCCTAAAACATTCACCGTAATATTGACACTATTTTCTTCCTTATATTCACTTTGCCTAGATTTTAAAAAAGTCAGAACCTAGATAAATGCTACTAACAAGTAAAAACAACCAACAAAATACATATGTCAGGTAGGTAAATGTGTCTGCATTTACATGGCTTCCATAGACCAACTGCTACATGAAGAGTTGTGTTGTGACAGTGGCATTAGAGTCAACACACAGATCATGGCAGATCCCAGTGAGAAAAGTGAGTGGTCACACAACAATGCTGTAGCATCTGGTAAGATGGTGTTTACAAAGGTTCCAAAGGCGCACCATGTGGCACAAAGACACTAGGCTCCTACTGTTGGAAAACTGGGCAGATAATAGTTTCCTCTGGCCCAGCAAAAACATCCACTTGTTCTCACCAACCAATCAAAGAAAACTTCTAGATCCAATTTGGCTATTAATTATGAACTAAGGTAGTAAGTAGTAAGTACAGCACAATAATTTACTTAATCTTTGGAAAGAGAAGCCCAAGGACTTTCACATTAATTTCATCAGATGCTTTCTCTATTTTGCAAAATATAAACTCAACTATATTTTCTTACCATAATATTGTAGTTAACATTGATGGTTTCCTCTTCACTGTGGACATGCATTTGAAGAGGTTTAACCTCATTCTTTCCTTTCCTTATAACATCATAGATGGGATTTCGAGGTTGCTGGTTTAGAAGAATTTTTTTCAGTTGTTTTTCTAAAAGTTGTGGGGCCTCGTTAATTATTTCAAAAACTCCATAATCCATATTAAATCTAATTGCTTCTGAAAATGTCTGTAAGATAATAATTGAAAGAAATTTTAGGGGCTGGGAAGGTGGCTCAGTGGTAGAGTGCTTGCCTTGCATGCATGAGGCCCTGGGTTCGATTCCTCAGCACCACATAAGAAAAAAGCCGGAAGTGGCTCTGTGGCTCAAGTGGTAGAGCACTAGCCTTGAGCTGAGGAGCTGAGGGACAGCGCCTAGGCCCAGAGTTCAGACCCCACTACTGGACCCCCCCAAAAAAAAAGAAAAAGAAATTTTAAACTCAAATCCACTATCTCTAAGGAACACTTGATGTTTATATATGCACACACATTTTTACTTTTGTATGCTTAGTCATTTCCTCTTTTTTAGGAGCTCTAAATCCCTTGGCTAGAGGTATGTTAGATCCAATCACTCTTTCCCCATCAGTGAATTTATACCATAAGGTATCAATATAACCTAAAGAAAAAGTTTCTTTTGTATAAACATCTTACCTCTGTGATTCTTTGAATCTAGAGAAAAATATAAACCTTGTTTTTATGAAACCATGCTACCATCTTGGCAGTAGAAGAAGTGGATTACTAGGGAAGAATGAACAAAGAAGTAATACTCCCATTATCTGCTTTATTCCCAAGAATCATGAAAGCAAACAATTTCTTTTCCCCAAAAGGAGAAAACTAAGCACAATATGTTCTTCATTTAAAACTATTTCAACACCATTCCTCATACTGTGACAAAAAGGACTGCAAGAGAATAATATGTCTGAGCTTTTCTCAGTAATTACTAAATGCTGCCAACTTTTATTTAATGCTAACTAGATAGTATACAACAGTCAGGAGTCTTCAGCCTGTTAATAAATTCCAGTCTGTTAATAAATAGATCTTTGACTTCAGGTCAATCATTGAACACCTTTAGGCTTTTTTGTTTTGTTTTGTTTTTGTTGGTCATGGGGCTTGAACTCTGGGCCTGGGCACTGTCCATCAGCTCTTCAGCTCAAGGCTAGTACCCTACCACTTGAGCCACAGCGCGACTTCCGGTTTTTTCTGCTTATGTTTTGCTGAGGAATGAACCCAGGGCCCCATGCTGGTGAGGCAAGCATTCCACCACTGAGCCACCTTCCCAGCCCTACCTTTAGGCATTTAATCTGCTTAAGACCTAATTGGTAAGCTAGACACCAGTGGCTCACTCCTGTAAACCTATCTGCTCAGAAGACTGAACGTCACAGTTCAAAGCCAATCTGGATAAGAAAGTCTGTGAGACTCTCATCTCCAATTAATCAGCAAAAAGCCAGAAGTAGAACTGTGGCTGAAATGGTAGAATGCCATCCCTGAATGAAAAAGCTAAGGGTTAAGTATTCAGGCCCTGAGTTCAAGCTCTAATACCAGCATGAAAATCAAACAAAGAAGTTAATGTTCCTAATCCACAATCAGGTCCCTTTTCCAAAATATTCACTTATTTTAGAGTACCAAGTGAACAGACCACTCATTCATATAATTCATATATGTTTAATCAAATGGTAGACAAGATCAAACACTTCTCTATGGGTGTTCATTGCTTCTTTCAAGTTTTATTAAGGGATTTCTAGATACACGACAGTTATAATAAATGGCAGGATGTCACTGTAAGAAGGAGCTAGAAATATATAAAAATGTATTTGAATTAATATATCAAAATAATCTCTAAAATCTGTCTGCCTTTCTAAGGCATTTAAAATACATGGACAGGCCAAGGCCAGTGGTCAAGCCTGTAATCATAGCTACTCATTCTAAGCCAACCAGGACAAAAAAAAAAAAGGCTGACAGGCTTTATCTGCAATTAATCACCATAAAAAGCTAGATTGGATCCAGGCTGTAGTGGCTCACACCTATAATCCTAGCTACTCAGGAGGCTGAGATCTGAGAATTGCAGTTCAAAGCCAGCTCAGGTAGAGAAGCGCATGAAACCAATTAACCACTAAAAACCTGGAAGTGGAGCTGTGGCTCAAGTGGCAGAGCACTAGCCTTGAACATAAAAGCTCAGAGACAGTGCCCAGGCCCTGAGTTCAAGCCCCAGGACTGGCACCAAGAGTAAAATAAGAAAAAGAAAGAAAGAAAATAGCTAGAAAGCCGGGTGCCATTGGCTCCCAACCTGTAATCCTAACTACGCAGGAGCTGAGATCTGAGGATCACGGTTCAAAGCCAGCCCAGGCAGGAAAAGCCAAGAAACTCTTATCTTCAATAAACTACCAGAAAACCAGAAGTGGCACTGTGGCTCAAGTGGTAGAGCTCTAGTCTTGAGCTGAAGAGCTGAGGGACAGTGCTCAGGCCCAGAGTTCAAGTCCCATGACCAAAAACAAAAATCAAAACCAAAAAAAAAAAGTAGAGTTCAATGATTAAGTATGAATAATTATCTATAAATTGTGTAGTTGTCTTTAATAAGTAGATTTTTTTTGTCTCCTGTATCTGTCTGCTAAATATGGAACTCAAACAGGCATCTAAATTTCATAAATATCTGCAAACTATACTACTACTAGACTAAAGAGATAAAAGAGTGCTGCTCTCAGAGACCAAATTTATCTGGTTTGGGAAAAGGAAATAAATTAAATGTGGCAGAAAATGTATATCAAATATTAATAGGGTGGGGGAAGGAAGCACTATAATGTAAATGGCCATCTGGAACTGATTTCTTTTAGTTCTGAGAATCTACAGAACAAGTGAGCCAGTTTCATCTTTAATTTGTTGTTTTCCTTTCTTTTTCTTGTGCCTCCTACCCTCAAATATGGTAGCCAATGGAACACAAAGTTGTGATAATCCAAAGCAATGAATGTCCACTAACAATTCAATGGAAAAAGAAAAAATATCTTACTAATGAAGTAAAAAATACTTAGATTAAAAAAATTAGACAGACTGTAATATTTATTCTGAGCCCCTATAAAATGAATATATAACTATTTTGTGGTATTAATTAGTTCAGATACAGTTGGCAGAAATGACAGGAGACAATAACTAGCTTATGGAACATCTGTCATGGGCTGGGTATGTGATTGGCACCTTAAATGCACTATCTTGAACCATTCTACCTTCCTAAGGTAGTTTTCTACAGAAAATGAATGCTTGAGATGGCCAAGTAAAAAGCTATGGATTTAGAGCCATGACGTGCTAGATAAGGGCTCTAGAAATGAGTCTGTCTTGTCCAAAAGACAGCTCATCCCTGCTTCATTATATTGCCTCACATATAAGAAAACTAATGTGCATGTACTGAACAGTTTATGCTAGGCCTTGTGCTAAAGTATCAATTCCATGAAGTTAGTGGAGAGCAGAGATTCAAACATACAGTGTTTTTATTTCAAAGGCTACACTCTCATTAATTCAGATTTTTCTAGTAAAGGCACAGAGGCAGAAATGTGGCATCTATGGGTAACTCATATAAATTCAATGCAGTTGTAATCAAACTAGAATAGCTATAGATAGAAGAGTTTAACAGAGGAGAAAGAGTTGAAATAGGTTAAGATAGATAGGACCATCCTATAGCGGTTTATACACCATTTAAGAAGCAAAGGCTTACCAATGCTGAAGGTATCACAATGCCAGAACCATAGTAATGAAAACAGCATGGTGCTGACAAAAACAGACATGAAGACCAACAGAATAAAAGATCTAGAAATAAATCTATGCAGTTATAATATCTGTCAAAAGTAGTATTCTCAACAAGTAGTTCAAGGAAAACTGGATATCTACACAATATTGAAATTGAATGTCTCTCTGTCATTACCAGTATGCAAAGTGAATCAAGTATCTTAAGGTAAGACCTTAATCCCTGCCAGGGCAGGGAGGGGCAGAGGAGGAGGAGGAGGGAGAGAAGAAGAAATTAAGGAAGAAGAATAGAGAAAGTAGGATGCTGAAGTTGGTTAATAAAGAATGAATATTTATCAGGTGGATAAGGGAGAGAAAGAAATGCAGCAAAAGAAATTGCCATTGCAATTGGACATTTTAGTGAACTGTAAACAGTCTGGTATTAATTGTTTTAATTTTTCTTATATGTAAGTACTTGTATAGAGGGGTTTCATTTCAACATGTCAATTTATAAATATAATGTCACTATTAAATTTTAATATGTGAGAGGAAAAGATACAAGCTTAGAGAGAAAGGCACGAGACTGGTTCATCACGGACCTGGCATTCCACATCACCATCACCTAGGAACTTGTAAGAAATATCAACTCTTATGGCCTTCCCCCCAATCAGAAACTGGATGGGGCATAGTATTCTCACCTTTAACAAGCTGTAATTAAGTAATTCTAATGCACGCTTAACAGTTGAGATTCATTGCTTTAGAATGATGGTGAGGAATTATTAGCTAAAGAGAGGAGAGTCCACATTGAGACAAGCTCCAAAGTCCACATTCCATCTACTCCCTCATGCTGACTGTCCTGTGTACTCATGGTATATAAGCAGATGTCCATCTATGTTCCGAACTTGGAAGAAAGACCCTGCCATTTCATTATGATGTAAATTCCTGTTGCCTGCTTCAGAAGAGTATCTCCTACCATCAAATCCTTTGGTTTTACCATTTACCAAACTTCTAAATAAAAGACAGGGGGGAGGGAGACAGAACTGAATAATAGGAACTATTTTCTCCCAAAAGCTGAGTAGGCTGATTTAAACAATGCTCAGGTTTTAATCATATGATAGGGGGGAAAATCTTCAGTTTGCGCCTAAACCCACCCCTCCCTTTTCAGTATGTTGCAGCCTGCCCTTTCCCTTACTTAATTTCTTATTTCAAGGGTATCATTTTCCAAATGTTCTAAAATGAATTGGCTGAAGGTGGTGAAAGCTAACTTTGTAGTACTAGTTATCCATGTGCGAAAAATATTTTCACAGAAAAAGCAAGTGCATGAAAATATTTTTACCACAATAAATTGCTGGTTCCACATTTCTTTGAAAGGAGGAGGGAAAAAAACCTGTGAATAATTAGTGATGTGTTTAAACTGCCAGCCCAGCTACACTGAAACTTACTGGGTGCCAAATTATTTAGTTGAACAGTATTTAAATTAAA